TCGTATAACCATTTTCCAGTACCTAATATTACCATGGATATTGAATGTCTTATTACGGTAAACGTCAATACATTCGTGCACCGTTGCATCGGAAACAGTGATATTTGATTTATGAATGTACTTCGAATATCATCTGGGCCACGTAAGTACTTACCTTTTCGTGTTGCTATCGTAGCACGACTAATACAAGCTTATATTATAATCCGACATTGTCAATCCTTTTTCTGTTTCCTGAGATTCACATTTGCATTGTCGATACAGAGTAACCTCTCTCATTCCTACCTTATTAAAACCAAAAACCAACCAATGTGCAATCGGTGCAACGCATTAAATATTTGCACCGGCAATAACCGGAAATTCAATCGTGAAAATTAGTTTGTTACACGTAAGTACTTTTATACGTACTACGTAGTCTTTTATACGATTAATGTGAGTGATCTTGTAACGCGATATTTCCTGGTTAATGATATTCCTATGATTACATTTTGCTGTATTACTTTCGTGGAAATTAAATCACGTTACATTAAGAATATAAGGAAAGAGGTAGACTGTTTGAAACTGTGTAACGTGAAGCGACGTAATAGCTTTTTTTAAATCCTGAATATGACAGTTTTATATGGGAGGAGTTTTACATAACTTATTTCGCATAAATCGTTGTTAAGTTAATTTATCGTATAAGCTGAATTTCAAATTTATAATTGCATCGACAGTTTTAATGGCAGCGACAATATAAATCCCGTAGCTGGATTTTCAGAGGTTTGCTTCTGAACAAATGGATGTAAATTTCATGATCGGCGATATACAATTTATTTCGAATGTTTGCATCGTTTCAAAGTTTCGACGTTTAACACTTCATTATTCATCACTTCCTTTCGTGTGTATTATTTCTTTTACCTGGCACATTGAAATGTAAATCGGAAAAACATTATTATTATTGTAATTACATTATTTTATTGAATGATCGGAAAGATCGTTTAGATTACGGTGGGATGTGTATTGTATTCCTTAAATTACTAATTCTTTTTTTACATGCAAATATACAGATTTTCATTTTTTTATGTCGTTCAAGAATCAATAGACTTTTTTTTGTCGATTTTTGTACATTGAGTATGTATTTAAAAATCGTTTTTTTTTGTTGTCCCTAATTTCCGGGAAATTCAATTCAAAAAATCAAATACTCTTTAGTTTTCGACAAACTTTATTTTAGAAGATCAAACTCTTAACTTCAAATATTACTCATGCGTTAATTGTAAAAGATAAACGAATGTTTCTCACAGAAAATGATTGTAGAAACTTTCGCGAACAAAACTGTATATATGTAAACAACCTGTACATAATGTTATATGTTTATTTAAGCGATTTATCTGGAAATCTAAGAGTTTTAGAGGAAAGCTAATTTCAACACGTGATAGAACAAATCTCTCTCATTGAGTTAGTTTGTTTTAAATTGTTTATACATATTGAAATGTTTATAGGAAAGTTTAATCTACTATATAATTTAATAACATAGGTATTTTATTTGAGAAAGTAAATAGAATTATTTTCTCCAACAAAGATTTTCATAACTTCTTTAGACCATCCAAATATACGTTTTCGAAGTTGAACATTTCTCCAAACTTCTCAATAACCAAGGGCAATGAGAAAATCTGCTTTATTCAGTGCACAAAAATTTACGTTAATTGCCCATTGGTTATTGGAATAGAAAGTTAGTTTTGGAAAGTGCAATTAATCAGTGTCTCTACAATTAGCAAAGTAACTTACATTGATTAAAATTACAGTCCTTACAATCGCAACAGTGAACATTATTAAAATTACTCTTGTACAACAGTTACGTATGTCAAATAGCAAAAGTTATTTTTACAAATGAAAGTTAATTTAATTTAGACAAATCGCTTCGATTTTTGTATTAATATCACCATTTACGAAAGAAATAACGGATATTAAGCCGTCGACAAATGAGCGGAGGAACCATCACAAATTGGTGTGAAATTGGATATTTCAAAAAAAATCGAAACGAATCTTTCACCAAATGTTACCGAATATTTCTCCGATATTGCATACATGCGTTTCCTGTTGGCATTAAAATGTAAATAACGCCTTTTTGTAATATTTCCCAGAAATATTTCAATGGAACGGTATCATTACCTGTTTCGGCCATTTAATTGGAATACGCTGTTTGTTTTTTTCGTTTGTTCGGACGGTCTGTTCTATACACAAGATTAAACAGTATTGTTTCTCTCCTTATGTGTACTTGGCAATAAATCGCAATTTAGTTATATTTGGTGTCGCGTGTCAACGGTGACCGATGCGACTCGAATGGAAAGTTCGCTATCAGCCATCGGTAACCGACGTGACATACAACCCGTTAACAAGATGTTATTACGATACCGCGGGAAGGTAAGGGTTTCCTAGTGTAAAATACGAGGTGACAGATTTAAAAATACCGTTGGATTAACCTTTCGACAACTTCTTAGCTGTCAATGTTTAAAAATGTTCAATTTCTTACTTGTCGACTTTTTCAAGTATTTTCTCAAACAAGCTACGTCGATCTTTTCATTAAATCTAATATCATACATTTAAAATGTTATTGAAATGATTTTAAATATTTTTAAAGTAATATTTTCAAAATATTAAAAATTAAAAATTGTACAACGAAATGACAATTTAATTTATTTATAAGAAACTGAAAAGTCAAACATGGTCGTTAAAGATCTGAATGAAGACTTAACCCTTCTACATTCTCCGAGTTTTTTATAACTTAATCATGTTTTCATTTTTTTAGCATTATTCCGTTCGTGTCTTGATCTTCTCTAATCTAGTCGTGATGTTATTAAGATTTTATTTAGAATACTTTGAAATAGAAAATGCTGTGCGAAAATTGTTACTAAACACGTTTTTATTTTCTTCAATGAATTTCAAATGTATAGATAAATTGAGGATAGCAGTGTTAAAAGAGATTATTTTCTAAATACATTATCTGCATTGATTTTAGCACTAGCACTACCGTACCAGTCAAAATGACTGGTTTTTGTTTTTATGTTTTGCAATTATTGATACTTTCAAAGTATCGAACATTCGAAATGATTTTGGAAATAAATAGTTTCACTTCAATACTATAATAAATGTCTGAAGAAACTGAAAATAATCTGTTATTATGATTTTTATAGCTCGATAGTTTCAGTGTTAAACAGAAAAACTTGAACTCTGTATCTGCTAGAATGTAATTCGAGACGTTTATTTCTGTTTGACACGAAAAATTGAAAAATAGTGCTCGAATGAACAATACCTTCATACATTGATTATAATTATCGAAACTCCACTTGAGCGTATTATACGGAGATTCGATCATTGTTACTTACACGGGCGGAACGTTAAATTATTCTGTAAATAATCCCCGTGCATGAAAAGTGTAGCACCAAAGTCTCATTCGCAGTAATTATGGCTCCATGCATTTTCGCGTATACGAATGCGACGTTGTTAGACCGTTCTGGTAATGTACAGTACATATGTGCCGTGTACAGTGCGTACACTCGTTAATAAAACAACGTTAACTACGCTATCCAGTACGGTTCAATCGCTCTTCAGTGAATTAGCAGTCCAGGAACACGTCCATTACAAACGCGCGGATGCGAAAGTACGCCTCTCATATCTGTGTGTGAATCTCGCAATGTAAATGAACGAACTTTTACTTGATTTTATCGAATTAACACCATCTGGACACGCATACCATGATCTGGATCGATGTAGGAGCCATTTTGCACGGGAAACGGGAGCATGCCCAACACTTGTCGTTAGACCGCAGATATTTATGCAAATTCTACATTTTTGGAATATCATTCAAAAAATTTGAATTTAGATCTAGATTCAGAACATCACTAGAATACCATTAGAATTTTATTTAGATGTTTAGGTTTAGAGTATCATTAGAATTACGATAGAAAATTGTTTATTTGACCCTTTACATTGGAGAGGTGACTCTCAGTCGCCACTTGGTTCAATGTAGCAGAATTATAAAATTTAATATTTACTATCTAATCATGTGGTATAACGTTTCAATTCCTGAAATATTAAAATAAAATATTTCTGTTCCCCGATTTACGAATTTTAGTATTTATGCATAATTTATAGTGATTATTTATAGTGAAAAATCTCTTGTGTGCAAAGGGTTAATACTAACCGAACGAGAACCGGTCAAATGACCCGATTATAAAATTCCGCGTTCTCTTTCGTTCACTTAACTTTATAGCAATTTCTATATTATCCAATTAATCAAGTTTTGCAATATTTATCTTTACTTTTGTTTCTGTTTTCACTGTAACAAATTTATTATCTGACTTGTTTACTTTTATTTTATTACCAGTTATTTGACTGGTAAGAAAAGTGTCGGTACGGTTAGTGTTACCATTTTGAGTAATAATATAGGTACCATTTTTATAGTATTTCAGTTTTATATTATTACAAGATAGTTTATGTATTTTTTTCAAATTGCGTCTACTATGGGCAATTTGTAACTTTTCTATGGATGCGTAAAAGTTCGCAGTCTACTTATCATGCATAACGAAACGAGTTTAACAATAGAACTTATTTAGCAAATAAAAATATTCAGTTTCAATCTGTTGCGTGAATCACAAAGTGTGCATTTTTCAGGTTTGACGTGATTTTTAATATCGTCTTTGCACAAAGAAATAAATTTATTGAGGAATTTCTTAATAAAAATGTCTTTACGACTATGGCAATTGTAAAATAAACAGTTCAATATGGGTCATTTTGTTAAAACTAGAATTATCAAGCTGTCTAATTGATTAGCATTCATGTTTTCTATAAAAATTATATAAATGCATTTATTGTAATTTTCATAGAACTGTATTTCAATTTTTTTATTAGTATATCGATTCGTTAGGAGTTTCTCAGAAAAACAGCTATGTTTTTAATAATTATAAAAATAATTATAAAAGAGAAATTAAAAATGATTAAATGAATATTGATTTAATTTCAAGTACCATTTTTTATGATCTCGTTGTTTTCCCTCGTCCAATAGTTAATCGATTTTGGGTACGCCTCGGAATTACACTCCAGAGTCATTCGTTGTCCTTCTTGCGCCCCCACCAACTGATTCTGTATCGAAATCATCGGGGTAACTGGAAATTCAGCAGTAAACAAACGAGATTAAATTTAATATGAATCACGCACGTAAATTGTGTTCCACTCGAAAATATGTTTATCAATACAGTGTGTATAATAAATTGAATTTTATAAATTGAAATGTACTTACATTGTACTATGAGCATTATTCTTTTACTGACAGTGGGCGGCACACCGTTGGAGGCGATGCAAAAATATGCACCCATTTGTAATCGATTTACTTTGCTGATATTAAATAATGACCCCTCCACGCTTCTCACTGCAACAACAAAACGGTCTATTTGTTAAAAACAAATGAATGTATGGAGTAATGAAAATTGAAAACAGGAAACATTCAGTTTGTACATCAAAATTGAAATTTTTCATTTCTGTAAATGAAAGTTTGGAAACTCAGGAAACTATAAAGCTTTCTGTACATATAGAGTAATTTTAAAATTCATCTGTAAATTAAATTATTACATTTACATGTAAATTATTTATATTATATGTAAGTATCTTTTGTTCACACCACATTATAGGTTCGGGAGTAAAATTGTCGCTTCAAAAGAATACCGAACTATCTTATTCTTCAAATATTTCGACAGATGTGGATGAAAAGTTTTATAATATCTCTTTTTATATTCAAGAAATTATCCAAAAATAATTTTTGTAAAGTCCATTTTTTTAATTACACTTATTACTGCTGCTCAAAGTTAAGATATGCTTTATAAGTTTACATAAACGTATTACTCGATAAAAGTTCCTTTCATATAAATGTATAAATGATTTTTATATTATATTTGTTACAAAAAAATCATATTTGTATTATTAAATTGAAAATTTGTTTTCATAGTATTTATTAACAGAATATTTCAAAAATTAATGTTCAAATTATTATCATACTTCCAATTCCCATTAAGGTATAATCGCACAATATTATTATTACGTTAGTTAATGAAAATTCATTTAGATTGAATTTACTAATATTCAATTTAATTATAACATATTTAATGTAAATTTATCAACCAATGGAATTCTATTGAAGAAAATTGGTTCTGGGATAACTGTAATTTGATTATTTCGTTATATAACGTTAATTAATAATTTCCTCATAGAAAATTAGATTACACGAAAATATCATTGAACTACAATGCATGTACAAATAATATGTGCAAATGTTAAACAGTGCTTTATGAAATTACTAGATTATATGTTTATATAATATATCATAATTTAATTTAATATTTATTTACAAAAAAGAAGTATAATACCGAAGTAATTTGTAAGTCAGTTGAATTTAAATACTGTATAATTTTCGAGAATTACTTTTAAGTAATTTAGTAGGTATAATTTTTCTAATTCAACTTTTCCCGATAACCCTCACCATTCTCGAGATATTCCACGAGAAAGAATGTTCTGCATTCTTTTCAAGGGGTAATTTCTCCCTTCTACAACCGTGTTAAGGCACGAACGAAAAATAGGTTTGTGTTACAGATGAATTACTTTACCTCCACATAAAGTTTTATAGTACTTTGAATTTCTGGATTCCTGAATTTCTATTCGAGGTATAAAGACAGTTTTTTAAAGTAAAGCACAGACTATTATCTTGATAATAAATCTTAATGATTATCATTGAAAATTGTAAACCATCATATAACTGTGTATGTATCTGTTACGTTAGCATGTCCTATGTTACCGGAAAATCTGGCGTGTTTTATTTGAATAAGTGTAATGTTGTATTTTGTTCTGTTCTAAAAATTGAGATATATTTATTTAAAGTATCGTAATGACTTTTCTATATATAAAAGTTGACACTTAAATGTATTTCGAAAATTGCAGTTGAAAGTACAAAAAATGTATTATACTCTGAATTAGACTTTTAATTAATTAACAATCAGTTATTAGCTTGATGGAAACTTCTGAATGAATTATACCCACAAAAATTCTTCATCAAATGAATTTTGAATATAATTGCAGAGCATATTCGAGAAATAATATAATTGGTCTCTTAACTTAAAAGTAATAATTTTCTAATTTGCCATAATTTTCTGATTTATTAATAAAATAGAGTTAGATCGTTGAAGTTCTAGACTATGTATTAGTTAGTCAGTTACACATAACAGTTTGTTTGTTTTCGTTCAGTTTATCTCGCTCGTTGCTATTTTTTTACACAAAAACTTGGCCATTCTTGGTCGTTATATTTAAACCTTTCAGATTCGATGAACATTATAATGTACACTGTTTTACTATTTCAATATCTGATAAAATATTAAAACAGTGATAGACACCTATATGTACACCCTTATCTAGTCTATTTCTATCAGAAAGGTAGTATATTACCATTATTTTATTCGCAATAATGTCATTTCTAGTGTACTTAATGTTAATCCTTTGTTATTAGGTGAGTGAACATAATGTTGTACAATAATCAAGTATGAATTGATTAGAGATTGAAATAACTCACTGCTAGGATCAACATAACAGTTCTCAATTTTATTTAGGTTAAAATTCCCAATAAATTACCATTTTTTTGTTTCCCAGAGTAAAAAATTCACTAAACAGTATCACCAATTCCAAACTCAAGTCCATCAAATACAACTAATCTATCAATAAAAACGTAATTAAAACCTTAAAAAATTAGTGATATTTAATTATCATTTCGATCTAGTCCTTTAGCATATAAACCGTTTAGTCTGAGCACACAAATTGAATGAGTTAACAGGAAGTTTGATAACGCTGGTAATTATAGGCTAAGCACATAAATTAATTATGTGATAAAATGTTTCGAAGTACTATCGTAGACTGGTGTTATTGATATCGTGAAGCTTTATTTAATTATGTAAACGCTCCACCGTACACGTACGCAGCGGATATATTGTTCGATCCACGATAGTCCTTTATTGAAGTGCAGCGTTTCTGGTGGTGAAATATTTTAAAATTCGTTTTGTAATCGAATTAACTATTTTACCGAGATACTGGATATTATATATATATATATATATGTACACACACACATATATTTGCCGGTACGCGTCCATAAATTCGCCGAGCTTGTTACTTCTTTTAGCAGAATAATAATTACTTGCGAACCGACGGTGTTGATTTCACGTCGCAAAAAGCCCCGTAATACCGTGTCCGAAATTAATATTAACTGATCAGCCAGGGTTTGCTTCCGCGCCATCGATACTGCGAATATTCCAGGCTTTTTGTTAATCCGTTCAATCCGAGTGGGTGTTCGATGGTGTGAACATGCATGTATCCGGAGAATTGTATCGTCGACGCAACACCGGCTTGGAATTTCTTGTTGCAAAGTACTTTACCCGGGGAACGACCGATTATATTCTCTTACGACATTTATGGGCCGGTTTTACAGATTTGGAGTAAAAAGTTGCATGATTTAAAGCGCGTGTACATACGATGAATATAAATTGATTTTTTAATACCGTCGCACAACAAATCTTAAATGTCGAAATAGCTAAACTATATTTCGAATTTTTTTAACTTGAAGTGAAGTGTTAGATAATTTAAAGCACGTATACATACGGTGAATAAATTGATTTTTTAGTGTCTTCGCGCAACAAATTTTAAATGTCAAAGCACCTTTATTAAAATTTGAAGACTGAACGTTCGATTTTGATGAACATTCATTTCAAATTCGTACCTCACTTAAACCTTGAATAACGGATGGTTTTAATTTGTAATATATTTTTTAATAAATATACCTTTCAAAAAGGAATTTCGCAGTAAGTTTAATTTATACTGTTAATTGAAGTTACATGTTACACTTGTATTTACCGGGTAAATTATAGCTGCATGTGCATATAAACATATAAATAAATTGATACATCAGATAACTCTGCATTTGTCATGCAAAAATGAAAACTCTTTTCGGCTTAAATCTGTTTTGTTTCTAGCATTGTCTTTCGTCACTGCTAAAGTTAAGTGTTTGAATTCAAGCCGCAGCTAACCTCGAACAATCTCGTTTCTAAAAAAGGTCTTTTATTGCCCGCTATTGTATTAGCTAGACGCATAAGCTCTGTCGTATCTTGCGTGCTCATTTTCGACACATAATAGACTGTCATTGTATTTATTTTTTCAAGCGAACCCGATAGTTTCATTATGTAGGATGGTAAATTGTGTTTAATAGACCACGAGATATTGAAACAAGAAAATCTCTCAGTTTTAAATAATTAGTGGATTATGATTTTATACATTTATGACAAATATGAGTTCATAAAATATAGAGTAGAGAAATGTTTATCAGAATTCAAGAACGTTGTTGCTCTATTTTGAATTATTTATTATGATTTATTTCTTAACTATGCTCTTTATATCTAATTATTTTATCGTTAATAATTTATTAAGAAAAGAAACAATTCTGATACTTATTCCGTTTACGTTTACTCTAAAGGTTAATGATTGATAATAGAAAAGCAATATTTAATTTATACCTAAAAAACTAAATAATACTTAGATTTCTGACACGATATTGTAAGACAAGGAGTTAATACTAGAACTACGTACTAGTCAAAATGACTGATTTCGATATTTTTGTTTTGCAATTATTGATATCTTAAAAGCATTGAATATGCGAAATGATCTTGAAAATAAATAGTTTCACTTCAATACTATAATAAATGTCTGAACATGCTGAAAATAATCTATTGTTATAATTTTTATAGGGATTACATATTAATCGTATTAAATGCTCGGTAGTTCAGTGTTGAATTATTTATTATTTTATTATTTAATAATCTAACAAATAACTTGCTATTATGAACACTAAGCCTACCACGACTCTTCAAATAAACGGTTTCAAAATTAAACATTTAGTGTTAATTAGGGAAAATTTTGATTTTATATAAAAATTGAGAATTGAATAATCGGTGTGTAGACATGAAAATTAGCAGTGTTAGTTGGAGACACTGCGTGCTTCAGAAAAGTTAACAGGACAGTAATGTTACTACATTGCAAAAGAATTATGGCACTTTAAGAAAGAATGCTGTAGAGCTGTGGTTCTCAAACTTTTTCATTTATGTGACATTTGACAACACATTTTCCTAATGTGAACGTGTCAGCACAATGTTTCTAATTAAGTCTTTGACAGCTGCTGTCATGCGTACACGGCACTGTCAGTTAACGGATATCAGTTGTCATCGTGTTGACGTGACCTTACTATGATAGTATTAACAGATTAATTCCTTACGTTATAATAACAATTTTTACTGTAGCAACAGTTAGTGCTATGCTATATTTAAATAAAGGTTTGAATGTTTCTAACTGAAAGAATGGTAATAATGAACTGAAAGATTCGCGTTAAAGTGTTTAAAGCTGAACATCGAAGTATTAGGAACTCGATGTTTGTAAAATTTTGTATAACATTTAGAAATTAGAAATCCAACTGAAATCAGATGAATTTGAAATTCCGGAAAATGTAGAAGCTCCGAAGGGAAGTAGCACGTAAATATAAATTAAAATCTTCGAAATTTATAGAAAATGACCGATTACGGAATTATGTAAAGTTTGCATAGTATGAATGTTTTTAAATTGTGTATCAAGTTCGCTATAAAAAAGATAAAAGAGAAAACTTCCGAAGAAGGAGAATTTAAACAGAAATTTAAGTATGTCTGAAAATGGATCTTGAAGGATACGGAAATTTACCATATTGCTCGTTTTAACTATGTTAACCGGAAGATTTACGAACAAAGTAATTAAGTTAATTGTCAAATATTTAAAGTGTGGAGAAGGAAAATGGATGATGCGGATGATTTTGAAAAGTGACAGGAATGTTGCGTCGAATTTGTGGGGAAAATGGGGCTGGATGCTGTCAAGGAAATACATGCATAATGTTCCGCTTAATGATTTGATACAGGAACTCATTAAGCGAATTTATGAAGATTTATCAATGACTGATTTATTGGGGCGATGTTAGGCGAATGTACCTAGAATTATAACGAAAGGTTTAATGGCTTACCGCGGTATCTCGCTTCAAAAGATTTACACTGCGGTGTTAATATTATTCAAATTCAAGTATTGGAAACAATGGGAGTAGTAATTGGTTTGATTGCTATATCATGTTTTGCTGTTTAACATGGAGATTATAATACCAATAATTGGTATCCAGAGAATAAATGACAATAGAGAAAAGACTTGTTTTTAAAAAGTGCAAATATGTATTTAAACATTTTCTGGAATAAGAATTTGACACAGCTATAGATGGTTGCGTGTGTTATATTTTAATTGTTATAATATGAAAGTATATGTAAAATTTCAACTGTGTATAGTTCAAAACATTTTTTTGTCAATTAGATATAATATTTCAAGATATAATATTTTTGAGTTGTTAGAGGTGACATTAAATTAATAATTGCAAAATTTTAATTTTTGGAGTTAATCTACTATGCAGTTACTATGTTATACTTACTATTGTGATTATTACAAATATTGAATGGTTTTAAATTTTTATTTTAGATATTTAATATATGACAAAATGGCACAAGTATATCAAGACAATAATTTGATGACTCCCTCCTTCTCGTAAAATTAAAAAATAAGAAAATGAAGTTCGAATTTCAACAAAAAACAAGCTTCATTTATAAGTAAATTACAATTTATTTATGATCTTATCTTTATTACGCGAAAGTTAACATTTATGGATTTACATTACACTCAAATTGCTTTTATTTCAAATAATGAGAAATAATTACTTTATTACGTTTTGCAATATAACATGACAGAAATAATGTGTGTGACAATGTATTTTACTCAGTATATAACCAATTTCCTTTAGAAATAATGTCTAATATTTAATTTGATTCGATCGATAAACCTAAATATTAGACAATAAATAAATATAATTTATAACATAAACATAAATATTAAACGATAAATAAACAGATCTTATAATATATATTCATAACACAAACATAAATATTGAACAATAAATAAACATTAGTTATGTATTTATTGTCTAGCATCTGAGTCTAATATCATTTCGCAACTTTCTCCATTAGAATTAACTCTAACACCTCACAAATTTATTGGGTTTCCTTTAACGTACTTCGCATATCCTATAAAATTCAAAATGCAGGATACATTTTTCTCTCCGCAGGCAAGGCAGCTTCCTGTGGAAGAATATGCCGCGGGCTACAGTCGTGCGCGGGTAAAAGACAAAAGGATGATTTATGTACCCCCTCGCATGCGAATCAGAATGTTGGTATTACTTCGTGTTACTGTACGAAACGGGTAGCGTGTATTTCATTCTGACGTCATCGGCATGCCAACAATGCAGGTGAAATGACAGGTTCTCGCGTGGTGTTCCCTGTACACGCGTCCTATTCGTTAAGTAAGTTTGAAAGCCGCCGGTGATAAATTTTCATTGCATGTCCATCGTACTTCATATATTCCTTAACGCTCTATTGACTTCGCATAAGCGCAGGTCGGAAACATTTTTTTCTTCTGGCGTGCACGGTGTTCACGCAGAACGCTATTGACAACGGAATGATACATCGGGCACGGTGTCCAAGTTTTAGACACACGCAGCTGGAAAGGGCCACTGACTTGGATCCAATTGAAAATCTATGGGACATCACCTTCTTCACCAATTTCGCAGTTTTTAATACTTTAAGTGTTTCAAGAATATATTCGATCAAATATGATTGAAATACGTTATAACAAAATCGGAAATTTCTCTATTGGATTTTTCCAGAAGTGTATATTTTTATTATTCATAGATTCATTAATATTATTTATGTAATTTAAAATGTATTTTATTGGAGTGAAAATATTTTTATATTAAGTAATCAAATATTTGGGAAAGAAAAATTGGAAATTAAAAATTTAATTTGTTTCAGAAAATACAGTGATATTTTGGTTGGTCAAAGTTATTGGTTGGTATAATTAAATCTGGCATTCAATGTTCAAACTTTGTTATAATATTATGTTATATTATTTTTTGATAGTTGTGTTTTGTTTAGTAGTATTTAGTTTAGTATTATTCTAAAATGTATTAAAATTACGATTATATTTTTGGTCTTACCTAAATTTTATTTTAGACAGCAAAAACGAATTTCAGTTCTGCATGGGGAGTATACACATCATTAAATAAAAAATTCCTATCTTTTCATGACTCGACATAATCTCGACATAAACTCGACATAAACATTAAAAGGATTAATAACTTGTCGTTAACACTTGTGTCATTACACTTGTACACTTTAATATTCGACAAACTTTTATTCACGAATTATTTTTTTATATAGTTACTGTTAAAATAATTCATACACAAATATATTAACGTATGTTTGACATAAGAATTACAAATTGACTGTTCTGTTTATAAAAAGTTAAATAATCATTCGATATTTTTATTTAAATAATTCTCTATTTTAGTCATTTATTTTAGTGTATTCATAAAAGGACTCTAATATTATTATTGTACCACCATTTCTATTAATTATTCACTATCCTATTTTATGTAAAATAGAATGACATCCTTCGTACTGTTTAATTATAAATTATATAATATTTTTATCGCATTATTAACTATTTGTTTTTTAATATAAATAGAAGTAGATAAGAATTTTAAAACATCAGGTGACGTTGTTATATTTCATATTTTTCTGATAATCCTTTTGAGTGCTTGGTCAGGAATAATTACATTGAATTACATGGATTGGAAGGATTCTTCTGACTAATCACTCTAATTTTAAATAAAAATATGGCCGATCATATCAAACGTTGTGAATATTCTCATTTCATTTTCTTTCAGAAGAATTTTTGCGTGACGTATTCAGTATTACACCATGTACATCTGAATTTAAGCTTCTTACCTTCTTCACCATTCGCAAGAAGTATAGTTTGTCCATCTTCTCTTCTCCAGGTGATATTTGGCGCCGGTATTCCTGTGGCCGCGCAACGCAGTGTAACATTGCTGCCTTCTCTAACAACCATGTCCGTGCTCGTAGAACTATCCGAGATATCAGGCGGAACTGGAAACAGTAAAATCACGGATTATTGCTTAGTAGATATTAATTAGCCCTGCTACATCCTTTGCGTCCAGTTTAACTGAATCATATCTTCATTTTCTTAGCACTATTTCATTTCTTTACTATTCTTCGATTTAGTTGCATTTTTATTTTGTCAAAAGTTCTTTCAACGTTGAGAATAGTGTGAGAATATTATTAGAGTATGTGTTCCTAATTTGTCAATAATATTTTAAATTTTTAGATACATTAAGGAACGTAGTACAGATATATATTTTGCAAAAGTTACATAAGTAAGGGTATTGTGTAACGTTCTGAAGGAAATCGAGATTCTAGAATACAATTATTACAATGATTGAACAATTTCTATTGTTCCCTTAGTAATCGAATTGGTAAATTTCTTAAACATGTGCTCTTTAGAATATAATTGCTCAGTGTCCGTAGTATCTGTTATATCTACGGTAATTGTAAATAAGAATTTGTAATTTACATTTGTTCAAAGAGTACACTGATTACAATGAGTTACAAAGAGTACAATGATTCATCAGAATAAACTATGTTCTCTTTGATCAAAATAAAATTTTCAATGCTCTATAATATATAAGTTTGGAATTCATGCCAAAATTGTAATTTTTGAAGTAATACAATTTAAGCGTATGTATCTGTATTTCCATTCCCACACATTATTTTCTGACAACCGCAAAAAGGAAATAGTTCATTTTCTCGTCTAAACAAATGACTTGTTTTACAAGTGAAGTAGAAATGTCTTTAGTGTTTGTCAACCCACAATTACAAGCTTAGAAATATTGTCATTTAAACACAGTTGTGTTATGTCAGAAATTCTACGTTAATTCTATTAACGCTCTGTACAAACTCCTTTAAGTTTGCTTATCATTTTCTGTACGATATAAAAGTACTATAATAGAAGAGTTTTTTTAAAAAACACAGTAGATGCCACCATTGTACAATGTTGTGTTTTCATTATCCTTTAATAAACACAATTTCAGCGCTATCTTCTTATTTACAAGTGGTTACTAATATTCTGATAATACAGAAAAATGATAATATGATATAACGATATAATAAATTTAACGTAACGTTGAGTACTTTCTCCCTTTTTCTGAAAAATTTGAAATCTGCCACTTTCAACCTTTTTTACAAGTACTCTTTACCAATATTCGTACGGTATGTTGTTTTTAGTTAAAGTTAATCGTGTTTAAGTAAAATATAAATACATTTAACCGAGTAACATTGCAATCTTAGTTAAAAAATAAAGTTCCAAAATATAAAATTGTTTAACGCTTAGAAAATTCAGCGAACCAACCTACAACTTCCAAATAGCCAGTTTGACTCTTCATCGGATCGGTATTAAGCTGACACATATAAGCGCCTCGGTCCGATAAACGAACATCTCGTATGTGCAGGTACCACGTTTTCTGCTCTGCGTGTGTCACCCCGATCCTGTGATTCTTTGTAATCACGTGATTGGCTATCGTTAAAATTGTCTGTGTGTCCACTCGTAGCCACGCTACCTGAAAAAAACGAGACAAGAAAAACGTTAGATACAATTTTATCCGGTTATCAGCTCATTTAATAACATTCTCATTTAATACAGCACATTGGATTGATGCAAATATTTTGAAGTCCTTTGGAGCAAGTAAAAATACTATTGGCTATATTTTTCTCTTAGAAATGACAACACGTTTATAATGATGCAATAAATAAGATTATAGAAAAATATAGAGGGTAATAGCAACCATTGGAAATCATATAATAGACTAACAAGGAAAGGCATCAAACACAGAAATTCAAAAAACTATAACAATTCGTGTGTAAGTAGAGTAGGTCAAATTTACTACATTGCAATCTTTTTTCGTGCTGAATGTCACTTCGTATGGGTGAAACCATCCCTTGAAAAAAATGAAAATTCCTCTTTCAAGAGATAGCGAAACAACGTTTAAACAAAAAATGCATTGTTCCTTCGCGTCTATAAAATTGCAAAATAAGATTTTTCAGAATTTTGAAAACTTATTCCACACCCACGATGTTCTCTAGATCTAGCATTAACAGATTTCCATCTCTTCCGAGTATTTCGAAACAATTTAAATGGAAAACATTTTTCCAATTTCGAACAGGTAAAACGTGCAATACAATTATTTGTAAACACTAAATCCAGAGATATTTATAAAAGAATGGAATAATAAAAGAAGAGGCAAATGTTTCCAAAAATCGAATTCATAAGCGATACATTGAAACGGACGGAACTTACGCAACAACAAACAAAAATGTAATGTAATGTCATTTCGTGAAGTAATATTTTTAGATAAACGTTTCCCGTCGATTTCGCGTTAAAACACTCGACTCGTGTCTTCTACAAATTTATCTTCATAATTCACAATTTTACACTCGATGTTTACACAGAAAACTTTTGGTAACTCCGCTGTTTGAATACCTTTTGTCCGCTATCTGTTCGAATGTACCTACGCGATAGAAGGAAAGGACATAAAATGAATTCCGATCGGTACCAACTGATTGCTGCGTCGCGGCAGGAAAAGAAACAGCGCAGCGCTGTGTCTGGTCAACTTCGAAGCACAGTGCAATGCCCGGACAAGTCATACCGTCGTATTTCAACGCATGCCGTACATTGTTGCCGGTCGAACTGTACCTTGAAAAGCGGGTTATTGTTAAACGTAGTACAATTGTAAATGTCTCATTGTTCTACTGTGTTTTACGAACGGAGCAACCATTTGAGGATTCTGTTTTCCGGTATAGTAAAGACTTCGACATTAACCCCTTGCCCTACAATATTGTGTTAGACTCGCGACGAAAATTTTAAACGTAGGCATGAAACGAGCATTAGAATTTTTGTTTTCTTAATAAATCATTAACGGTCAAGTAGTTGTATCGATCATAGTTAAGAAATAAATCGTAAGGCAAGCGGTTAAATTGTAGTGATCATTACCGTTCGTAAAGAAATAAATTGAAGTTTATTTGTTAAATATGTTGTTTCGCATCTTTAAGGTTTAGGTATAATAATTCAAGAATTAAGAAGGGATTATTGTATTTGAAATTATTCATTGTCTTTTAATATGTATTTAAGATGTATTTGAAATTGTTAATTGTAAATTAGTAAGGTGAGATCCTTTTAGAATAAACAGATGTGGAAAAAAATTGAAAAGTTGGAAATTTTAGAAGTTATGGAAGTTCACAGTTAAGAATGTATTGTTGGAAAGTGATCTATCATTGCGACAGGACTCTAGTTGCTTTTCATTAATTTTCTGGCATTTTTTAGTCTACAAATAAAAGTTGTGATGTATAAGGAGATTTATAAAGGAATGTTAAATATGTGTGAGAAAATGGATGAGAACGCAATTTCGAAACGCTAAAAGTAAAATGTACGAAAGGTATTAATGAAAACAGTTTTAGAAAAGTTACAATTAAAATTAGAAATAATTTTGTGACTTATTATGCATTAGAAATTAGAAAAAATTTTGGTTCTTATCAAGTAAATGAATAATGGAGAGAAAACTATGTTTTATTAAAAAAGTTTAAGCGATAGGTAATAATTTTCATATAATTTTTGTTTATGTGACCTGGTCTTGACAGTTCCTGCAAGCAGCAAAGACTTGAATTTTCTGTAGCAGCGAATTTCTCTTCTTTCTTCTTTTTTTTTGTCATAAAAAACTACCACATTTTGGCAAAGTTTGGACATGCGATGAATTAGTGAAAAAATGTAAAAAAGTTGTAAGAAATAGCAACAGAAGTTTGAATTTTTTAATTTAAATTCCTATTCACAAGCGTTTCCCTTCTTCATTGAAGAAAAAAGTAATTGAAATTTCCCCATACCTGGTCATTTGCATTTTCAATGAAAGGTACAATCACCTTTTTATCTGTGATGAATGCAATGGACAAAAGAAAGGACCGAAACTCATTCATCTGTATGTAAGAAGGACGAAGATAAGATCAGGCGTTCGGAGCAAGCGTCGACCGCGCTTAAAGCAGTAAGAACGTTGAAGGAAAAAGAAAATTCTGACCAACAGCGGTTCTTTCAAAAGAACAAAGTATTATTATACAGCGAATAAATGGTAAACTTGTTGTAAGTTACAAATTTTTACGAAAGTATTTTAGATATTTTGAATATTTATAACTTTCAAAATGGTAGCTATTTTATTAGTAATTAAATTCTGTGTGGTTTGTATTCGAATTAAAACTATTCATAAACAAATTCTGCTGTTGTTATTTTTAGTTTTCAGTTTTAAAAGAACTTAGTTAAAAGTTTTAAAAATAAACGAAGGTAGTGAAAAATACTTTTAAATATTTCGTTAGTTGCTTCATGTTAACTTATTTTTAAAAAGAATATTTGGTCTTTTTTATTTCAAAAGAACACAATACATCATTGATGTTACCAACAAGCACTGAAAATTTCATTATTCAACATAGAATATTTTAAGAGACTGTCCATTTTTATTTCGCCAAATTTTAAAAGGTTATGTTAGTAGAGAGTTTTTTAGTAAAGTTACATTAGTAAAAAATAATTAAATCTACCTAATGCTCACGAAGTTTTAACAAAAGTAATGGAAACTATGTTGCAATTTCGTAAAAACAAACAATAATCGATTTTCACAAATAAAAATCATTCCACGTAAAAAATTGCTCTATATTTTCTTTAACTAAAATTGTAAACGTGCACTGTACCTCGAACGATAATTACACTTTTCAAATGAATCAACTTAATCTAAACAATGATTTATTTAAACAAGAATTACGGTTAACGCCAGACTTTTTTTTACACCCTTGATTCATCTAAGAAAAGGTTGAATTTTGCTTTCAGTATTTTTCTCCCCAGTGAAATGAGCACAAGAAGTATTCGAGTCACTTCACAAGTATAAATTCAGCATTTCCCAGGAGAACCGCTAATGGACGTATTATTCCCTATCTGCTTTTTAAATTTTCTTATGAAATGAAAGATGGAGTCGACCTGCCAAGAAAATAAGAAAGGAAGACTGAGGAGCTTACCAAAAAATTCCCGAGGAAACTTTGGAATTTGCTATGATAATATCGAACATTGAAATATTCTGTCTCATCACGGGAAACGCGACGAAAACTCATAAAAACCCCACGAAGATCAGTAGAAGATACGATTTCATTCACAATATTTCATAAAACTTTACCTTTGATACCGGTTTCTCGGTTTCTAAGGTGTATAAAGTATTTCCTAGTAAAGAGTTCATTGAACGTATTTTTTCTCTAAAATTCAATCCACCAATCGTATTTCACCCGAATGGTATTAAGAACGATTTCATTGATCGGAAAATATCTCAGTTCGTATGATGCATAGTTTGATTAAGAGGAAACCGAAGGTAATATATTTCAAAGAGTAGAAACGATTCAATGTCTATATTATGCAGTTATATATATTGGTTTGATGTAGAAGAGTTGCACCATAAGGGAATCATTGTTTCTCAGAGACAAGTTTCAGCTTGTGGCGTAAATTTGTTTAAAATTGAGCAGGTCATAGGCAACAATGGTGAACATATCTCTTAACATTAGAATTACTAACCGATCAAAGTGAGGTATATATTTCAGTTTCTTTATTTCATAATTACTGAAATTATGACAAAGTTTCTATGCGACCCTATTAACAAATGAATGTATTTAATATGTTTATAAAATAGTAATACATTACATGTCGTCAAATGTCGACATCAAATATTCATATCTAGAATGAAAACTTATAAACAAATAATTCAATTGTTCAAGCAACACAAGATTTGTACATAACTATCCTTTTTTCTAGTATGAGATCAATATTGAATTAATTTTCTTCTAGCGAAGATTTTGAATACTTCAAAAAATTCCTTTCTTTGTTATTTATTTTATTCGTTATACTGTAGTTAGTTTTTATTATTAAAAATTAGTTGCGTTACAACTTTAAAGTTTTATACACTTTAACAAATCTTAGAAAGGGTTAAAAACAAATCAATTCAACAGCTCAGTACTCCGGACCTAAAAAATTTCGATTTCTCGAATAAAACGAACCTATTTATTTACGAATCTAGTAGACACGAGAAATGCGTTCGTAGGGTCGCGATCTTGCTTCGCACGCACTTCCGAAAAATCCGTGGGCCACGGAAAGTTTCTGGAAAAGTAAAACGAGAGAATTGTAAAATCGATCGGTAAACGGAATATAAAGCGTTCTGCTGCAGTATTTCGAAAGTAGGTTGTGCTTATTGCAGCGAGCCGTTTGAAAACGAGACCGTTTGGACGGACGGTGTCCGGACTTTTATTATGGTGAGCTCGTATCTTACATGGATTATGATAGCTACGTGGAATGCAGCTCACATTGCGAACGCGCGGAAATGTGCTAAGAATGCCGGTGAGCTACGATTATTTGGCTATTTACAACGATCCCGCTCTCTCCCGCCTCTGCCTCCTTCCGTTTTCGTCGTATATTTCGTCGTAAGAATGTGCACAATTATTATGACGGGACGGGAGAAACAAAAAAAATATTTGATAGCGGGTAGATAAAAAC